AAGATGGCACTATAGGTAGATAATTATTTCTCTAGCACTTCTGACAAATATATCATATTTCTGTTGCATCAGCTGATTGCTGTAATTCCAATCAGTACCAGTGATCAGATTTGCAACTACCAATTCAAAAGCATTTAGAGTCATTAGACCAAAATACTAAAATGTTATCAATACAAATGTCTCAGAAATTAAATAATACATCATGACGTAACCTTATACCTAATTTGTGTATATTCGGGTATAACTTTCTCTTTCATTCATTGTATGGTTTCTAATATTTCTATTTCTATATAAATTCTCAACTGAGGAATAGTGTGTGTAATTTGTTTTTGAAGTACTACTAATTATTTGATTATGCATAATCATTGTTTATGTATAAAATCCTCCAGTCACTTTGGTTTCTTCTACTCCTGTGGCTCTGGCCTAGTTGCTACACAACCAAAACCAGTTTTTATACTGCACAAATCAATCTATGCCTACCAACATTTCTAATTAGGTTTAATAGTACATAAAGTGATCTATGTGATTGTCTTGAACGAGGATGAACGGAAGAAGCTTTAGAAGAAGGCCAGAGCCAATGATGATGAAAGTGATCTATGTATACTGATATTTTATTGCTTTGCAACTGTTTAATGCATTAAGAGCAGAATAATTATGGTGCTAAATAAAGGAAAATGTGTGGTTACATTCTTTCACACTTTTGGTACCTTTTTGTACTGTTCAATGGACTTATGCAATTATTCATAAGATTGTCATATTAAATAAGCAATTTTACTACTTCAACAATATTTCTTTTAAGAAATACTTGAACAAGTGCTTTTGCTTGCACAGTAAAAACTGGTCACCAGACACATCTACCTGAATGTCTGAAACACAAGAGCCCATACCAATACTGTGCAAAACACAGTTCAGTCAACAATAAATTAATCAAGTTTCTACTGCACTTTCCAAGCATGACCAAACACTCTTTGAACCATTCAATTTAATCCCACTGCTACATGCATTACCACAAAAATAAACATGGAATATATGATTACACAATCCATATTCATATTCTCAATGAAACCAGAATTTAACTTACAGAGAAGAGGAATCAGAGATGCTCTAAATAAGTAGCTTTTAGATCTAAAGTAACCAGATTTATATGTACTTCATGTTTTGGAAGAGATTCCAGATATTATATAGTATTTTCATATACATTTATATAAATCATGCAAAATAATTCTAATATTCTTATCAGTATATGCATTTATTAGAGATTCCATAATAAATTTTTAACTGTACCAACATTTTCCATGCACAAACACATCATTCAGAACAACATAAACAGATATAACCAGGAAGTCTCATCACTGGGTATAAAACTTTCACCCATTCACTGATCATTAAGAAACATTCCCAACTTGTATTAAGTTTAGAGCAAATTACTTATATTTGTGAGAAAAGGCAGAAAAGTTCTGTAAAGTTTAAAATTCTAGTACTCCCATTCAATTTTTAAGTCACAAAAAATATGACGTTAAATAATTTCAGTGCTTGAAGCGAACTAAATCAGTTTGACTGTATGACCATCTTTGACAAAGCACTGCATCCTCATTGCTTGAGATCAACAATCAAGCTAGTGGTAAAAAAATTACAAAATGTAGATGGCTGTCTTCTGGGATGTGGCACAGACTATGTGGTGCAACATCTCAGAAGTCAGCCATCTGCATATCTGTCACTGAGAACCTGATATCTCACGAAATTTACAAAATATGCAAGGATTCACACATAATCCAATGACATTTATAAATAATACTATAGAGAAAAGTGCAACCATGATGTGAAATGCTCCATAAAGTGTGACCACCATGAAAGGAAACCATCATGAAGGCGAAGTTAAGAGTTAATTTTTGTGTGTACAGGTTACAAGAGGATGGAATATTATGACTTTTTTACACACTTCCTATATTTCAATCTATATAATTTGTTTCATCACCCATAAATAATGCCAGCATTACAACTCAAATATTGTATGACTCAAGAACATGCTTGTGTCAACAGATGTTTGTAAATGCATCTCAAATGAATAATAAGAACAGAGAATTCCTGGGAAAGTTCATCCAATGCACACATGTGAGCACGCACGCACACACACTCAGATGGCAAAGCTCAAGTAAGAACAGATGAGAGCAGAAGAGAGCAACTTACATTGTTTTTACTACTCTAAGAATGAACTTCTTACTACATTACTGAGTAGTCTACCATAAGTCAAAATACTCATCCTAAGTGTTT